AGTTGAAGTGTACCTCTGGTGCAAATTACTGACCTCTGTCATCATTTTAAGTGGGGGAACTTGCACAATCGGTGGCTGACTAAATACTTTTTTGCCCCCCTGTAGCTCCTTTTAGGTAGGAACTCCTTTGAGGCTGGATTGTACTCTGTTTTTAAATCACATTGCATCGGATTTTGTCTTACAAATGCAGTTTGTTTTTTGGATGATACCATACAGGTGCACCAGTGGATGACCTATTATGTTTTTCTTTTATATATATATATATATATATATCTATATGGCTTTATGTTTGATGGGGACAATGAGGGAAAGAGAGAGGGGAAGACATGCAGCAAAGGGTCTCAGGTCGGACTCGAACCTGGTCTGGCCGCTCTCAGCTTTGCTGCATATGCTCCGCTGCTCATTCCAGTGAGATAAACCGATGACCGACTCATTATGTTGTTCTAATTGTGTTCCATCTTCTTCCTATATTCCTCCTATTTTCTCCCTGCTTCTTTTTTCTTTCTGTCCTCTGACTGTCAGCTCTGTTATTGCCATATTTCACAGCTTTTGGCCATACTACCTTGAGCATGCCCAGGTCAGACCAGGTTAACAGCTTGAGCATACCAGGTATGTATGCTTGGCTTGTCTGATCTTGGCTCATCTACTAACCTGAAAGGTTGGTGGTTTAATCCCTAGCTGCTCCAATCTGCATGGCAAATATCCTTGGGCAAGATACTAACCGCAAGTTAACCTCCAATGTAACAGTTTGTAACAGTTTGTAACAGTTTGTAACAGTTTGTAACAGTCACACCCACATCAGAGTGTGACTGTTATAAAGCACTTAAAAAAGTGCTTCTATGAACGGATGAATAGAAACATGTTTTAAAGTAGAAAAGTGCTATATAAGAACCAGTCCACTTGCACAATATAATAAAATGAAACAGACAAATAGATAAAATGAAAAAAAGGAGAAAACACAAATAAGAAGACCCTATAGAGCTCATCTTTGAAAAGCTGTGCCCATGTCTAACCATTCAGCAGAGAAGCTCTGTGACCTCCTCACCTCATCAAAGATCTCCAAGTAGAAAGAGTCAACCCCAGGAGGCACCGTGCACTGGATCACCTTGTTCCAGCGTGGGTTTTTGGCTCCATTATGAGCAGTTGGTGTCTCATAGACAGCATAGCCCAGTCTGATCCTACAGTATGGATCCATTCGGGTCATACCATAGTTTTTAGCCAGTTTGGCCTACACAATAAAACAAGACAGGTGGCTTCAATTAACTGATTAATTTCAGATTCGTGTATTACAGTATAGCTAGCACGTGTACTCCTGTATTTAATCTAAGTTACACACAAAAACATAAACACTAAAACTTAGTTTAGTTGATCAAGATCCCCATTAGCTCCTGTAATAGCAGCAGCTACTCTTCCTGGGGTCTGAGGAACTTTTTAACCAAAACGTTTTTCAGACATAAAACTTCATGAAAGACAAAGATCCATGCCACCATTGGGTTACACTGACCTCTGCATTAGACTAGTTCAACAAGGAGGTAACAAAATAAACCTGTCTGTCAACAGCACAAAGAATATGGATGAAGATCCAAAAAAATAAAGTTTGTTATAAAGAATTTGTGGCACTTTGGCTATAATGACTTTTTGGTTAAAATTTAGAACTTAAACTAAACAAGAAGCTTTTATGTGTAACATAAAAGAACAAGCTGTTGGTGTGTGTATTTTATCCACAATGGTACAAATACTGTAATGACATCAGTTGCACTTCTAATAGTGAAGCTGTGCTCACCTGGACCACTGTAATGCTAAGCCGTCCTACAGTGCTTATGGAGCCTCCGTACTGCAGCTGCCTGGCTGCCTGCGCATCCAGCTGGACCTGCTGCTGCTGCTGAGTGGGAGTGATTCGCAGAAAATCCTGTGGAAGCTCCCCAATATACACCTGAATACAAAGACACAGGGATTAAGAGTGACTCTGCGCACTCACTAAGGGAGACAGTTAAACATGATATACTCCACGAGATTACGTCATTAACTGACAATAATTTCAACTGATGATCATGTTCTTAACCAGGACGTCGACTTCGACAGCAAAAAACTGGTTTAAGTTTTACCCAGAAAAACAGCCACTTGTTTTTCAGCAGCATACAGGGGGTTGGAGGAAGAGAGGATTGCTTGGTGCTGTACTAAGAGAGATACTAATTCATGCAAATCATTTAACATTGTAAGTATTTTTTGAGAGAGAGAAAAGAACAAAATATAATCTATGGAAGAGAGAAACCAAAAGTTACTGACATGCAGTATGTAGTACTGCCATATAATTTAAATATGGGATAAATGAAGTGCTTATTGAAACTAAGATGAAGGCGAAGAGGAGAACAAGTGGAAAACAAATGAAGTCCTCTAGCAGGGTGATCCAACCCTGAATACAAATTCAGAGCTGGTTCCACAGGAGAGGGTCAAGTAAGCTAGAAGCTCTGCCCCAGTTTTGAAATCTCTAGGAACCACAAATAAGGCTGCACTCTGAGAGGAAAGTGCTCTATTGAGAAAATATAGTATTATGAAGTCTTTATAGTGTATATTCATTCAGGTCTTTGTATTTCGGGGCGATCGTGGCTCAAGAGTT